TGTGCGCACGGGGGGGTGTGGGGGAGCAGGGTGCCCCAGCAGGAAAGCACGTGCGGGGGCAGCAGGTGCTCCAGCAGGGCACACGTGTGGGTGAGGCTGGGGGCAGCAGGGCACACGTGTCGGTGAGGCTGGGGGCAGCAGGGCACACGTGTGTGGGTGAGGGTCTTCTAGCTCTGGGCTTCGGTTGGAGCACTTGTGGAGATGGTCTGGGTGGGGCAGGTGGGTCCCCCAGGTGGGGAGCAGGACCCTGCCCTCGGCCTGGCAGAGGGACCGGGCCGTCCCCAGGGCTGGTGGCACAGCTGGGGTGGGGAACGGGGTGGCCCCTCGATGTTCAGCACACGCAGCACGTGAAGGACAGGCGAAGGCAGCCGGGGTGGTGGGCGGGGTTGCAGGCGGCGGCTCCAGGTTCGGTGGCCCTTCCCGCGAGCCTCACAGCAGTTCAAAGTAAGAGCTACAGCATTTCTGTCTGTTCCACAGATGCAAACACTGAGTCATAAGGGGTTAGTTACACGCCAAAGCCCACAGCTTGGCAGTGGAGGAGCAGAACCGTAGCAAGGGTCACCCCAGAACCCAGGAGCCGTTTCCTCGCCTGCGGGGAACACCAGCGCTGGGAGGCGCTGAGCGCCAGCATGGCAGCCCTGGTTGGTGCCCAGTGCCGCAGCCCAGGGGGAGAGCGGGGCAGGCCAGGGAGCACGGGTCAGACGTGCCTGCTGGGGTGGGGCGTCTGCCAGAGGCCCTGCCTGAGGGGGAGCATTGGATGTGGGAGGCTGAGCTCTGCACTGGGGCTTCAGCAGACCCTGGCGCCGAACCCGCACCGCTCCAGCCTGAGCGGGGAGCCTCGGGCACATGAGTCTTAGAGCTGGTTCCTCAGCCATCCTGGTGAGTCGGAGATCTGAGCTTGGGGGTCCAGGGATGTGTGGGGTACACTGGTGGCAGCTCAGAGTCTGGCCCGGAGTAGGTGCTGTGTGAAAGCAGCCCCTCCCCCTCCTTTCCACACACCCTGGTGCGGGCCTGGCTGGTGGGCCTGGGGACAGGGCTTCTCCTGGAATCTCAGCTTGCGCTCCACTTGGGACCAGTTGAGGGGTTCTTGGTAAGTATTGGAAACAGCAGCCCCCCCACCCTGCCCCATGAAGACCATGCCTGAGGATAGGCTAAGAGCCCTGGTGGGCAGAAGAGGTGAGAATGAAGGTTCCCCACCTGCTGCCTTGGGCGCAAACAACTTGTATGACCCCTCCCAGCCCAGCAAGCCAGCGAGAGGACTCCTGGGGAGATCTAAGGGACACTTTTATGACATTTCCTGGCTCCTTGGCCAAATACTTGGGATTTAGGGCCAGGAACTCTAGGGCCTGAGTTGGTTTCCCTTAGCTCAGACAATACCGACTGGGGAACCTTGTCCCAGGCCCAGGGCCACCCTGGGAGCAGCACTGTCCTGTGATTTTTGTGAGGCTGTGGGTGCAGTGGGTGACATGGGCTCCCCCATGCCAGCCTGGCTTTGAGTCTTACCCCCACCCCTCATGAGCTGGGTGGCTACCTCTCTGTGCCTCAGTTTGCTTATCGTAAAACGGGGATGTGGCAGCTACCTCACGGGTTCCCGTAAGAAAATCATGGAAGTGAGTTCAACGTGCTTAAAGGGTGTCAGGCACTCAACACAAGTCACCATCGTCATCATCACCTTTACAGGAGAGGAGACAGACTCAGAGAGGGTGAGTGACTTGCCCAAGGTCACACAGGCAATAACAAGGTCAGGGATAGATCCAGATCCGCCCGACTCCAAAACCAGTACCTCTTCCCCACAACCAGACCCTCTGGCAAAGGTCTGAAATGAGCACTTGCAGAGTTTTTGGTTTCATGTCCCACCTGGACCTCTCAGCCCCTCCCTGGTGCACACCTTTCCCAGCAATCCTGGGTGTGGCAGGTGTCAGCGCCCAGTGTCTAGAGGAGACAGGACCACAGGCGAAAGGCAGCCATCCTCCATCCCTCGGCGGTGGTGGCAGCGCCAGGTGGAGGGAAGTGTGGCTGTGGCAAATGGGTGAGTGGCCTGCAGAGAGAGACACCCTCCACGTCCGGTCGTTGAGACTGCCCCTGGAAGATGCACTGGGCTTCTACAGGGCTGTCCAACTCGCAGCTTGAATTTTGCAAATATAAAGTGAATTTTGAAAAGAAAAGAGCAGGCAGCTGAGAAGTGCTTTATGGACCGGCATATGAACAGTCAGAGCCGAGGGCCCCCGGGACCACCAGTCCCACCTGCTTGTCACACCGATGGCGCAGAAGGCCAGCCTAGCACTGCCATTGACAGGGCTCACAGAGGTGGAGAGGGAAGGCTGTCCTCGGGGGCCTGCTGGTCACCACTGTCTATTTGTAGGTGGGGAAAGTAAGACCTAGGGAGGGCTGTTAAGGAAACACACTGACCCCACAAGCCCGGCCTCCTCGCTGCAGCCTTCCTGTTGCAGTGGGGCCGTGGCACACTGCCCTGGTGGCAGCGCATCGCTCCGCCCTGCATGCGTCCACCTTTCCTTCACCCTCTTCAGCCTCCCTGGGCAGGGCCCTGGAGCCTCCTTTCACAGCCTGAGAAACAAGGCTCGGAGGCCACAGAGCTCGCCCAGCAGGCTCAGGCTGAGGGCACAGTGGGGCTCTGCTTCCTTGCTGCTGTTGGGCCGACGGCCAGTGGGGGCCATGATGCCTGCGGCGGGGTCTCTGGACCAGGCTTTGGCCTTGGCCATCCTGGGTTCAAACATGCCTTTATCACTGGCCTCAGGAGTGACCCTGGGCAGGCGGCATCCCCCCCGAGGCTCGCTGCTTCCTTGTCTAGATGACTGTGCGCCACGGAGGTGGGGCTGCCATGTGGTCCGAGTCATCTGAGGACAGAACTAGGGTCCAGAGGGTGAGTGCGGGAAGGATACTCATGGCTCACTGTCCAGTCTCTTGGTGCACAGACAGGGAAACAGACCTAGACAGACAGGGGCCTTGCTCCCGCTGGGAGCTGGGACCATTGGGAAGGCAGTGTTGTGGAATGGTTAGAGCTTGGATTTGCTGTGAGGCCTTGGGTGAGACAAATCACTGCCCTGGGCCTCAGCCTTTCCCACGTGAGACGCGCTGGCACAGGCAAGTGCTCAGCTACTGGGAGCAGGAGCGAGGCGGACACTCATCTGGCGACCAGCAGCAAAGCCTCGGGGGCAGCACCGCCGTGTTCGCACGTGAGGATGGGGCACAGGAAGGGAGCCGAGTCACCTTCCCCTAAGCAGGGTCTACACACCGGGCAGCCTCTGGGACCTCCCAGCCCCTTTTGACTCTCTGATTCCCTGGAACTCTGGGGAAAGTGTCGCAAGCAAGGGGGCCTCCTGCTGGGGCCGGAGAAGAGGCCAAGGTCCCAGCCAGAGGTCCACTCCCTTCTGGGACCCTCCAGTCAGTGTGTGTAGCCAGCCGGTCGCCTCAGTAACCGATACCCAGGCAGCCAGACAAAGTTACAGTGTGTGGCTGGGAGGCTGTTTTGTCTAATACTCTAAAAGAGCTTTGAAAATTCCCAAAGTCCATCTGGTCCTGGTTACCCCACAATATTGCTGTCTCTCTAGCTCACAGACAAGGGAACGTTTTTATTTCTCCTTTCA